CAGTAATGACTCCAAGAAGTGGAACTGGCAGGTACCCTTTATTTCAAAGAAAAGTAGAAATTCATTTCTCCCTGATTTTTTTCCTCTTTCAAATGCTACGCGGTAAGATCAAGTTCATGACAACTTGAAAATCTGTGTTAGTTCTCAGGGAACTGGGAGAACCCCACAGGCTAATGATTCAGCTACAAAGCCAACAGCTACATTTTTCTGTAAGAGCTGACATACCAAGAGGGATTTAGGTAAGGACTGCCATTATTTAAAGAAAACTGGAAAAGCTGTTCACAACCAATCTGTTTACCAGCAACAAGAGCTGAGAGATAGGGCAGCCTAAACACGAGGAGATTGCTTCTGTTCAACCTATAGACCTTGTGTAATTCTATTTAAAGCCAGCATATGTGTTCCAATAAAAAAAAATGATCTTTTCTTTACATTTATGCTGTCTCAATCTTTTTCTTCTTTTTAGTTGTCATTCCCTGAATCTCACACACTGAATATACCTTTTCTGAGGACAAAATCTGTACTGCAGGCTGCGTATTTTTGAATAAGACTGTTACTATTTACAAGCATCTTCAAGAAACGCTGAGGATTTTCCCTGTCTTTGACTTCCAAGCCTGTAAATTTGTTCATATTTTCATAAACTAAATCACAGATCCTCCCAAGTATAACAACATCTAAAGGCAAAATACCTTACAAACATAGGGAGTCAGAGAATTGGGAAAGAAAACAACACTGAATATAAATTTCAGATTAAGCTCTTATTGTTAGAGTTAATTTCTGAAGTTCATGGCAAACATGCATTGGCTTTCAAAAGGGCAAATAGCCAACACCCTCACCTCTAATTGTTCTGAAATATCTCCTGGTAGAAAGAAAACTAAGAGTAATGTATCATTTCCTACAATATTCAGACTTTGGAATAGAAATTCTCAGAGTGGTTTTCATGAAAAACAATGTCCAATTTGAAAAGCAGAAGTAGTTCACGTTAAAAAGCAGAAAAAAAAATCCGATTTGCTTCTTTGTCATCACAGTCAGCATTTTAAAAACTTTATACCTTGCTTTACATCTTGTCTGATAGCCTTTTCTTAACAAAATATTATAAATTAGCTTAACTTGAAGATTAATATTTCACTCTCAAATACAAAGAGCAAGTTTTTCAAACCTTTATGTTTATCTAAAAAAAAAAAAAAGAGGAAAGACAAACTGTGAAGAAAACCATATACAGAAATAAGAATATATGCATTATTCACAACAAGGTGCAAATCTGAAGAGCAGACCAGATTTTCCCAAATACACTGATTATATTAAGAGCTATTTGAATACTAACTGTACTATGAATAGGGTTCCATAAAATCAAATCTAACTGAAGCCACATCTGGCATACTAGAGGTGTTGCAAAAGATATACCTGTAATTTGCAAAATTAGTTCCTTCAAAAGCGTGAAATATTCATCGCTCATCATATTTTTAAGATTACGAGCTCAGAACTTTATGAACACCAGATTTCATTAAATCCCCTTGTTGCATCTAAAGACTATTGCTCACAGAGAAAAATACTGATGTATTTCCCATTATCTCAGGCACGGTAGTAAGTCTGGAAGTAAAGGCACAGACAATTGCATATATCTGCCAGCTCCCTGCAAACTGTGCACCAAATTATAAGGAATCAGCTACTTTTAGAGCAGCATTCAGGCTGAGTTAGTACCTCGTCTCGTTTCACCTCAGCCTTTGAGAGGACTATTCACCAACATTCACCTCCACCTTCAACACACGCTAATAACAAGATGTTTATAGTCCTACTCTGAGCAGCGCTTACATGAACTAGAACTAGTACTTCAAATCAGTTTGGGAGATTTTTGTAGTGACATTTAATGACATTTTCACCCTACAAAGCATGCAAATGCTTTAGTGTTGTTATTGACCAGATTTTAAAGGGTCTGCAGGTTTTATTTCATAAGTAAAACAACATTAATTCATTACACAAATCATTACAAAGAGCAAGAAGCACTTATACTTTATAAGGTAGTGTGATTTTCATGTGACAACTTATCCATGCACAGCTGGAAAATGCAAATAATCTACTAAACTGGGTACTAGTACCATTATGTCTTATGTGCTGGAAACACAATTTATTGCAGTAACTCTAAGTAAAATTGCAATCACTATTTAAATCTTAGTTCTGAAATAAACTCCACAAAGTTATGCCACTATGACAAAATACAGCTCTGTGCAGAATTAGAGCTACAGAAATTGGCAGGGGGGTTAGAAGTACATGAAGGTCCCTTCTAACCTAAACCATCCTATGAGTCTGTGAAATTATTTTTATCTTGCTATTTTATAAGGGTAATGTGACAAATTATCCTCTGAGGATAAATTGATTGAACAGCATTAATTTTTCAAAATAAAATGAACAGCCAAAATGTATTGGGGGTTGACTGTTACAGGTAACAGTTTATGTATTATTTTAGAATGTGACTCTTCCGTAGCACATTTTTTTGCGGCTTAAAAAGGACACTTTAACTTAAATTGATTTTATAATCAGTGGCATGTTGATTACTAACATGAGTATATATAAACATTTCCACAAAATTTGACATATGAGTTTTATATCAAACAATTCAAAATGGACAGGGATTTCTTGACATTTCATTTTTCCTTTTCACCTAAAGGAAGTTTAAAGAATAAATTATATGGCCCACAATACTTTAACTCTTCACTACCAAGAGTACACTAGCTCAAGTCGTCCTGTGCAAGACAGAGAGCAGGTTCAACTGCAACGGAAGATTGTGGGCTCAGACTTGCAATTATTAAATACAGAGAAACACTATCAACCTCATGCTCTTTGTCCTAAAATTACACTCTTTTCTCAGAATAATGCATCCTCGTGGCCCCAGCTGAGCAATGGGGCGTATAACCACTTTCTTGCAAAGTTTCTTTAATTTTATGTTCAATTTTACTTTCAATTTTACTAAAACTCAAATTTTCTTATCAAATTATATATTTTTACTTTTCGTAACTTGAGAATAGCCTAAAGTTTTCTATCAATATATATTTCTACATATAGAAATCTATAGTTCTCAGACCTGTTTGAAACTACATATGCATTTGATCTCACCCTGGTGATACAAGGTACAAGTACAATGAAGAGAAATTTTGACACCTTTGAACTTCTTAGGTACAATAAAATACATGACCTGCATACTGCTTCGTACTACTCGTTTCATAAATAGGAATATCTATATTATGTGAAAGCTTTTTCTTAAATCAGAGATACAAGAGCAAAATATTCACAACAGCATTTATAAAATTGGAGATTATCCCCATTGAAAGACCACCGAAGAGTATTAATAAGACTTCATGCAATATTTCATACCTAGAAAAAATATTCACTTATTGTAACACATGCAAAAGACTGAAGTGGAGTTTAGGAGTCTTCCTAAATAACATAGTAAAGAGAATGAGGACCTGTTGAACACTTCAAAGTGTCATGGTTTTAGAGAAAAAAAAAAAAAAAATCATTGACATAGAACATGTAAAAATATTGGCATAGTCTTTATTTTTAAAGAGATCTCTGCAAAACAATGAAAGACATTTTCCTCAGAAGAAAAGTAACTAGGCGGTGATGTAGAAAAAACTTTTGTAATGCTTATTATTTTATATGCTTACGCAAATATAAAAAAACTAAAAAGCTATGGCACCTTCCCAGGTCAGGCCCCACATTCTTGTTCAATTTTGTGTTCAAGGACACTCATGATGTGTTATTTGGCTGTAATAATCACTTGAAAGTAGCTTTTTCTAAACAAATGAGCAAGTATCCCTCTTAATTAAAACCAAGCACTGCAAAAACTGAAAAAGAATCTCATTATGAATAAAAACAAAATTTACTGCATTGTTCTTTATTAAATACAGAGTGAACAGGAGGATAAATGCAGGCATAGCAGATGTATTCAAAGAGACAGTTAATTTTTAATAATCTGAGATTTATTGGTAAAATATCAGTTAAAATAAATGTTTATTTACAATATAATTGGAAATTCTAACATCTGAAATTCGTTTAATGTACTTTTCAGGGTTTAGGCATGCGTTTTCATCCCAATTGTGATTGCTTGTGACTTCACAACAGTATCTTCCAGGTTTGAATGCCTTCAATGTCTCTCCTATGTTGCTGTGATGGAAAAAAACCACCAGACAAAAGTGGTACTCCACTGGATCTCAACAAATGATTTAGCATATACAAAGGCCAGTTTAGCACTTAGTCATCCACTATAGTCTCCAGTGCCAGATCACAGGTATTAGTCAAATATATGAACAGTAATCAAAATTAACATTTGTTTCTTCCCATGCAGTTGCTATTGCAATAATATGGCATCCGAATGAAGCAGCAGCTTCCTGGTTTAAGCACTTCTACTATACTTACACATCTTCGTAATACCCAGACAGTGTGTATTATGACTCACATGAAAGCAAGTCTTTATCATTCAAAGATCTTCATTCTCATGTTTCAGAGGAAATTCTATTTTTTTTTCCTGAACACAGATACTTCAGAAACAGGGTAGCTTCTTCCCAGCTCTGTCTACTGAAAAGTCTACGTCCAGGTCAAACTGTAAGAAAACTTAAGGCTTTAAGGTTTCCACAGCCCTCTGTGTACGTGAATACATATGGACAACAGAAGACCAGGCAACTGCAGCGTGTAGCTAGGTAGTTTTTCAAAAAGTTTATAAACCTTTTTAAAGAAGAGATAAAATAATCCAAACTCTGTGTTGCATACGACTAATGCTCTTCAGAATATTGATATCAAAATGTATGTACAATAAAAAATACCTAATTTTCACAAAATGTCTCTATAAATATATCTCCCTGACAAACTCTTTACAGTGATTTCTGCATGTAAATTAAATGTTTTAAATGTGCACTTGTCAGAACTTTGGATTTAGCATCATATTGCTATTAGAGACCTTCCTTTGCAGAAGAAAGTATCAAATAAGAATACTTATACAGAGCACCCTGGAGTCATATCAATAAAAGTATTAAAATATTTAAGTATATATTTGAAAATCATTTTGTATTTTCAAATAAGGATCGATAAACTGCACAGTTCTCATTCCAGTCGTCCTTGCTTAGCATCACCTATTGCTCCCCACACATCAAAGACAAACTCATCTGGAAATGCAAAGTCTCCAAGAGTTTCATCCAATGCCACTGCAAATTCATCTGGGTTTTTCTTGTCTCTTCCAGCTTCCACCATTGTTGCAGCTGAAAAGCAACAAAACAAAATAATGTAATTAACATGAAAGTGACAGCTAACATCTATGGTTACATTTTGAATGGGCATTTTCAAAACCAGGTAAGGTCAGCTTAGGGACTTGTAAAGCTTACCTACTGAATTTAGGATTCAATTGGAATTATGTACTTAAATCCCCCCCCACTAGCTATATTCCGTCCTGATAAACAGGAGAGCTTCCTTGGAGCGCTTGTTATATATTCTTCTGTTTGTTTGGCAGAAGTTTAATTTTTAATTCAACAAACCTTCATTTTAATCTTATTAAATTATATTCTGTATTCGTTACTGCAGGTACATGAAGCACGGGTCTAAAAACAAGGTCAAGCACAACTCTTATGCGATAACATGACCAACTTCAGTGAGTTTGGTATGAGCTTGCTGATCTAAACCAGAAGATCAAAAGGCAAACCTGAATGTTTTTCTCGGCTAAACAATGAAGTAAAGAACTCTGTAAGTCAGATTTTAAAGTGGCCAAGTTTTTCACAGAAAGCCAAAAGGCACAGGCTTTGAACACAGGTACGTTGTTGGAAAACAACATACAGCCTGCATAATAGATACATGCGACCAAGCTAGTACAGGTTTGCTAGCAACAACCCATGTTTTATGAGTTTAAATGTTGAATGTGGCCTGCATTTAGAAAGGAGTAATGGGCCTAAAGAAAACACTCCCTACTTTAGGAAACAAGAATTCAAATACTAGGCTCGACTAATGTGTTTTGTAAAATACAGATAAAATTAAAATCCAGTTTAAGTGTTGGACAGTGTATGTCTCTGACTGACTGAAAGAAGTTGTGCTCTCAGGAAATTACCATATGATCTCAAACATATTTTCCTAATTTTTCAGCTTAATTTTATTTATTTTTAATTAACATTATCTTAATTTTTTAATCCCCCAAAACCCCACCTCTAGGTAGTAAAGAGACTGAGGCATTTATTGTGAGCCACATTATTCTTCTGCTTGGATCTACATTTTTTCCCGTACCATCCAAACTCAAGAGTCACTAATTTCAGCGCATGAGTTTGCTTCAGTTGTTATTACCTCCAGCTCTGAAAAGCAAATCTTTAATTTATAGCAACCTCAAGGCTGAGAAAGTTCATGCTTATGCCACTAGAAGTGAAAAAGATCAAAGTTATCTCTGGAAGTCTCAGCCAGGAGGTTCAAATTGTGCAAAAGCAAGGGAAAGGCCTTGCTGCTGCCCACAATAAACCAGAGCCACCCGAAGACTAGGAACATCTTGGTATCCAGGGAAGTTAAAGCAGCGAGGTCTGATACAAAACAGAGGTAGACTGTGATATCTTGTATACCCAAGCTGGCCAGCGTTTTCTCTTATTTAACACCCAAGTATCAGAATTTATCAAGTTTTATACTTTAGTTGGAAATGGCTACACTAGGGTCGCTGCTTTAGGACTCATCCCTCACCTTTAGACACTGCACAGTTTCTCAGATTCTCAGACAAATTACAAGTCATAGAATCATAGAATGGTTTAGGTTGGAAGGGACCTTGAAGATTATCGAGTTCCAACCTCCCTGCCATGGGCAGGGACACCTCCCACTAGACCAGGTTGCCCAAGTCCATCCCAAACAACACTGGATGCTGTCAAGCCAGGAATATTAGAGGAAATGAAAGCCGTGAGGGCTCAAACCTCTCTCGATCACTGCACCTGCACCTCCCTGAAGGATGAAAAGTGTCAGCGCAGAAGTTTCTCCTGGTTAAGCTAGGCCAGGAGAACTACTGGCAGCAGGCTGTTGTGGTTCAAGGGTTGCAGAAGACCTTCTAAAACAGACTCAGCACAAACAGCGCTGCTGAATGCAGTTTATTTTCTGAGCTGTATCTCTGCCCCACAGCCTCTGGTTCGAATTCACAAGAAATTATGGTATTGTATAAGAGATGAAACCCTCAAAGTCTGCTTCATTTTGTGATTACTTTACACATCTGCCTTAAACTGCAAGATGTCCTCCATCTTTTGTTACACATCAAATCACCACTTTTTTCATAAGCATATCAAATCCAAATGTCACACTGAAGGATTTGATAGCTTCTAGCCTTTTCTCAGAGGGATATCCAAGTGGCAAACAGGTACTACAGTGCCTGAGAAAAGGAAGGAAGTTCTGAAGCCACAGAAGACCATCTTCACTGCCACAGTCTGCTGTCTACTGCATGCACTGTGTTGTATTGACACGGCAAAATCTCTCTGATAAAAAGGAAAAGAAACTTTCCCAACTCTGAATTTTTACTAAACATATTTAGTATTATTTTGTTGACTTGAAACTCAGCTAAAGTTTATTGACAGTTACAAACTTCTGGCAAACAGTGTTTGCGGTTATGCAAACTTGTAACAAGCTGTGAGCAAACTTGAGCTGTTTTCCACATTGTTAGACATCAGCAACAATAATTCTGAAGAAATTTGATGTTTTGGTTTTAACTACGTTCAGACATCAGGCTTCAAACTGAATCACAGTGTGCCACATTACTTAAAGCAGTCCAAGGAAAATTTACATAAATCTTGACAAACAAACTGCTGCGGTGGAGATAGTTCAAGTGTAACCCAGCTTCCCGGGCACCACTAGTGGTTCTCAAGGACTCTCAAGACCTGTTTCCCTGCCAGCAGAAACCATACCCCCTGTGCAGTGATTCTTTCTGTATCCTCTGTGAAGTCTGTGGGACAGAGACTCGGAGGAGTCTGGATGGGAAACAGGCATTAAACAGGGGACTCTTGTTCCTGACAAATGGAAGACAAATATTTGTCCCATCAATGCCACCCTATACGCCCTGACACCATGGCATAAGCAGGTACTTGCAGAGGAGCAATCCTGGAGGGTAATGAGGTAAAGGGTGTAATTTAAACTTCACAGATTTCTGGATATGAACCGGGATATGAAGTTACTCTATATAGACACTGGGAGATGGATGGAGGGAGAAGAGCTGTGCAAGACGACACAGGAGCAAAAATATCTAGACATAGTTACTTGAGATATTAAAAAAAGTTGCCATCAGCAGAGTGAGGATCCAGACAAGCATTCCAGCAGAAAGAGTGGGAGCAAGGAATTTAGCCAGTTTTAAGATAAATCGGTCAAGATATGTGAAATAGCCACATGACACAGACAGCAGTGATGAAACAAGATAACACAGCAGTATATTACAGTCCAACTGCCCTAGCTGAAACCTCAGAATTACACAGTAATAAACCATCATTAACAGAAAATATTTCAAACACAATTTTCTTTACAGACTGATCTTCTCAAATTATTAAATAGAACCTTAAAAGTTGTTTATTAGAGATTTACCAAACTTAAAGCCCAAATCCGCTAAACTTGGACAAACAAGACAAGTTTCAATCCAGTCAAGCAGGAGTCGGAACCTCCCCACCGTGCCAAAGCAGGAGCCTCAAATAAAAGTGTTTTCACCTGTCTTGACCGACCATAATCAGCACTACCAGGGTACGTTTAATGAACTGTATTTATGAAAGCACGTTCGGATCCCCAGATTCACCGGACGGAACGGAACCCAGCCCGCCCAGCGGGTCTGCGACAGGTCGGTGCTGCCCCCCAGTGCCAACCGCGGGGCATCACCGCCCAGCGAACGGCCGCCCACGGCGCAGGACACCCCTCCTGTCTGTCACACTCATGTCGTGCCACTGACATCCACAAACACGCCGAGCTGAACCCTGCTTCGCCGCTGCCAGGCGTCCAGGAACGCTGCAGCTCACCCGTCTGCTCTGTCACCCGCTGTACACGTTGTTGTTCGCCCCGGCGGGTCAGGCGGAGGTGGGGTGGCATCCCCTGCTCCGCACCGCTGTGCAGAGCATCCCTGTTTACGCAGCGACGTTCTTCCCAGCGCGCAATTCCCAAGGCAAATCAAAAACTAGCGATTGCCGAGGCATTTAGCAGACACTTCGCAACTTGAAGAAAACTTGACTGGTTCTCGGGGGGTGACAGCTCCGTGCCAAACTGCCTCCGACCCCCTACCCCCCCCCCCCCCCGCT